CCCGCCTCACGGGGGTTGGTGTTGGATCACTCAAGAATATATGTTGAAGCCGATGCTCGGCCCACGACCGCCTGGCCTGCGACCCCAACACCAAGTTCGCCGTCCCGGCCCACGGCAAGAACTGGATAGCCCTCATCCCCAAGGGCAACTGCACGGACAGGGATAAGATCCGGAACGCGTTCCTGCAGAACGCCTCCGCCGTGGTCATCTTCAACGTGGGCTCCCACACCAACGAGACCATCACCATGTCCCACGCAGGTGAGCGTCCCGGGGGCGCGGGGGAGGGGAACCCCAGGGACGGAGGCGGTGGGCCTGCGCCTGCCTCCTGGCGCCGTTCTGGGGAGTCTGCGCTTTGGCCAAGACGCGTCTCCGTTCCCTGGACCTACTAAGTTTCGCTGGGCGTCACTTTGTGGGGGTTACAAAGAACAAGGGTTCACTGAATTGGGGGACCGAGGGAGGGTGTTCAGTTTAGATAGAGTAGAGCCGCTGGGACTAGGGTCGCTGAGGTGGCCTAACTTCTCAGAGGAGGACCTGAAAGGTGCGGTTCAGGGGCAGAACCCAGGTATTGTGCCCAGCGAGGGACGCCCCGCACCTGTGTGGACCGGGTAGATCTGATAGCTGAGCTCTGCCCTCGCTGGGTGCATCAGGTATACGCCTCCCGTACGTGTCTCAGGAGGTGGGTAGGGTTACTGGCGCGAGCAGCTCGCCTCCCCTGAGAACTAGCTTCCCAAGTCAGGTTTCAGTGCTTGGGGGAGACTGGGCACCACCCCGCTCCCGCTGGCTTGCCGCACATCATACACAATGTTAACAGCCTTGTGCTCTGCCAGGCTGTCATCCGGAGAAGCTGACAGGCGGGCACGATGGTAAATAATAGCAATCCTCACCAAGCCAAGAAAGACATGGTGGCCGTAAAGTTACGTCTACTTTTTTTCAGGATTGCCTTGTCCTTTGCTTGATTGGGAGGTTAAATATGTTTGTGCCCATAAGAGGATTTCAGGACAGAAAGGCTAAGCTTTTCTTAGTGATCGCAGGGGGCCAGGGCTAGAAAGGGGTTACTGCCCTAAAACTGGCGCTTTACCCCTCACTGACACAGCAGTGCTTCCCTGGTAGGAAGAACAAGAAGTCCTCTCCAGGCTTGTCAGCATCAGCAGCTCCATTTAGCAGAATCCCTGAGTCCAGGGCGCTACTCGTTCCTATGTGCCCAGAAGTGCACCCTCCTTCCACAGAGGAGTTCCTGGGCGGAGGCTGTGACATCCATAGGGAGAAGGGAATAGAAATGACAGATGCATTTTCTGACTGGAGTCACTTAAGCAAAAACAACAACAACAAAACACCATTGTTTTCCTTAAAAAGCCAGATATTAATAAGCAGTTATACTACTGAAATGGAACACCAAGCTTTGGCTACATTGGGTGAGGGAGGGGTGCATTCTTTGGGGACAAGTTTTCATTCCAAGAGCTCATGTCACCTATTAGTGGAATATCCAATTGGTTTTTTTTTTTTATTACCAGAGAGTCATCATCACTAGCTGTTTTTAGAAGAGGAAATGGTCAACCGTCACACAAACAGGTGTGGACAGCAATGCTCCTAACACCTGGGCCAGGAAAATGCAGTGCGGTAGTTAATGAAGAGGCGGAGAGGCAGTAAACTTAGAGAAGTGACAATCGTGCAGATAGGAACACATGATGTGCTTTCTCGAGCTCACAGTTTTGTAGGGAAAAAATTGCATTCTGACCTTGAGTCATAGGAGCATTACTTAAAGTATGATATTCAAGGAGTTGGAGGACTTTGGGAGAGCACTCTAAGTCATGTAAAGTATCTTTAAGTAAACATATTTAATATCTTAACTTCAACTGGCAGGGTGGTGGGAAGGAGATTATTTATTTATTTATTTTGTCCTTTAAATGCCAAGATTGTTGGCTGACTTTGCAGGATTCTTTCAATGTTTCTTTGTGCATATGCATGAAATCTTAAAGTTGGCTTCTTGGAACACAGACTAAGAGGCATCATTTGTTCCTGTCTAAAAACTTCTGCCAGAACTGCCAACACATTGGATCAATTAATGGCTCGCCTGTTTTTAAAGAAAGCAGTAAGCTGATTTTCTACACAAACGATGCTTGATTAAGACCTCGTGGGAGTAAAAGACTTAGTAGTAGTTTGAAAGTTAAAGACTAAACAATGCAAAGGAAATTATCTTCTTTCTAATTATTCTGTTTTTGAAAAAATGTGTTAATACTGCGTCTGCTAGTAGCCATGAAACTTCCATAGTGCCGTTTGATGTATTGCCACACCAGGAGACTCCGTATTCACTTTACTCAGAAATTGCATTGATTTCTGCTGAAGTCTCATTATAAGTAGATACATGACCCAGCAGCTTGGCAAACCCTTCACTTCACTCTTAAATTCTTCTGCCTGAATCTCAAACAGAGCCAGCACTGGTCTGCTGTCAGTGTCTCCCTCTTAGCTCCCCAAGGCTTCCATTTTTCTAGTTAAATTTGAGTCCGATTTTTAAATTCATTTTGGGTGCTAATCAGATCTTCTTTTGTGAACATGGGATTCAGTATTAAAAAGTTCACAAATGCAGAGAAGCCTTACATTTGTGAACTTTTTAAGTTAGTCACAAAAGAGTTAAATTAACATCAGCCTTCGCATTTTCCAAAAAACATTCTCACCTCCTCTAGATCCTTTATTTTTGGAACTGATGGCTTTCAGGTGAGGAGAAGGTCTGAATTTAGAGTTATGCAACCCATCATGTAACACTTATGCATCATAGTGATATGACTCCCACACACCCACTATCTCGGAATTCCATGAAATGGAAATCATTTTCCCTTCACATTTCCATATAGCAGTTCTTTTACAATGTATTCCCTTTCCTGCTTAAATGATTTGGGGTTTCTGTCACTTCTGCAATTATGGTTTCTCATTCACAAAGACACAGATTCTCCTGGGATAGACTAATAGTTTTATTTTGTAACCAGGTTTTTAATCTTATTTAAAGTATGACAGCTTTATTGCCATACAATTCACATGCCATACAAGTCACTCATTTAAAGTAAACAATTTAATGGCCTTTACCATACTGACAGAGTTGTACAACCCTCACCACTAATTCAAAAAATAAACCCTATGTCCATTAGCAGTTACTTGTCATTACTAACCAATCTCCAAGTTCTAGTTAATCAGTAATCTACTTTATGCCTCTCTATATAATTTGCCTATTCTGAACATTTCATATCAATGGAGTCATGTAATATATTTTTTTTGTATAACTGTCTTCTTTCACTTAGCATAATATTTTCAAGGTCTAGCAATACTGTAGAATGTATCAGTATTACAATCCTCTTTGCCAAATAATATTCTTTTGTATGTATACACCACCTTTTGTTTATTCATCAATTAATAGACGTTTAGTTCCTTTTCACTTTTTGGTTATTAAGAATAATGTTCCTATGAACATCCATATACAAATTGTGTGTGGACATTTCTCTTGGGTACATACCGAGGAGTGAAATTTCTGAGTCACATGGCAACTGTATGGTTTAACTTTTTGAGGAACTGCCGGATCATTTTCCAAAGCAACTGCACCATTTCACACCCCCACCTGCAATGTATGAGGATTCCAGTTTCTCCACGTCCTCATCAACATGTGTTGTTATCTGTATTTTTTATTTTGATCATCCTGTGGTTGTGAAGTGGTGTCTCCATTGTGGTTTCAATTTGCAATTCCCTGATGACTGTAGTTACTTTCAACATAATCTTAATTCTTTCTCTGCTTTTTATTTTGCTCTGTTCCCCTTGTTAGTCATTTATTTGTTCTTTCAGCCCATACACTTGTTGTCCTAGGGAAGAGAGAGAGAGAGAGACATTGGTAGAGAAAAGAGATCCATCTCTTTCAATTAAGAAAAAAAAGCCCATGGACCGGGGATTTTATAGGTCCCCTATAAAAGGATGTGAGAAACGGTGTCTTCATTGCTTTATGGAGCTTCTGGCACGGTTTGCCTTGTGAAAGTGACAGGGGGGTGGAGCAAAAAACTATACATATAAGAATACAGTCTCCACCTAGTGAGAGCCCCGGGAGTGAACTTGCAGGTGCAGACAAAAGCCATGAGACCCAAATTAAGAGAAGTGTAGCCTCGAGAGCTGACCACTTGAGTTTGTGGCCTGGCCCTGCTACTTCCTCTCACTGGGCATCTTTGAGAAAGTTACTCAACCTCCTGGGGCTTCCATTTCCTCACCTGGTAAATGGGAGATAATACTATCTACCTCAGTTCGTTGTTTTGTGAAATAAATGAGTTAGCGCAATGCTTACATCTGTAGCTGGGACGTAGCCATCAATAAATATTATCCCTCATGAGCACCGTACACAGTGACACCCGGGAGCCACAAACTGGAGCATCCAACCCCAGGGCTCAGGGGGCCCTGGCAGCCTCAGGAAAGAGCTCTTTATTTACCCTTTCAGGCATTAGAGGCCAGAGCAGTTACGCCAGTTTTTGTGGTTCATGTGATTTGAGACAAATGTTCCAGCTCTTTCGGATGGTTGGTGAGCTTTTTAGGATTCTCCTGTTGCATTTGTGCTTTCTCTTGGCTTACACTGAAATCTCATCATTGGCAGGACCTATATGATAAACATGGTGGATCTGCAGGTGTGTGGATGCAGTTTCTGACTGAGTTGTGATGTGAAAGAAATGGTGTGTTTCCTCCTCCCCCCCTTTTAGAGTGTGTTTGCCACCTTTTTGTCTATTGTTCATACATAGTTAAAGGGAAAGGAGGAAACTAAACATCTGGCCTTCTAGGTCAGGAAGAACTGTTGAGAGACTAGGTCCCTAGTTGTAACTTAGGGATGGAGGGAGGAGATGGCTGCAGTAACTGTCTAGACCAGTGGTTCTCAACCTTCCTAATGCCACAACCCTTTAATACAGTTCCTCATGTTGTGGTGACCCCCAACCATAAAATTATTTTCGTTGCTACTTCATAACTGTAATGTTGCTACTGTTATGAATCGTAATGTAAATATCTGATATGCAGGATGTATTTTCATTGTTACAAATTGAACATAATTAAAGCATAGTGATTAATCACAAAAACAATATGTAATTATATATGTGTTTTCCGATGGTCTTAGGCGACCCCTGTGAAAGGGTCGTTCGATCCCCAAAGGGGTCGCGACCCACAGGTTGAGAACCGCTGGTCTAGACAATAAGCCCAGCCCTTGGCGAGGAAGCACCCAGGATGAAGTGTATCCCATGTATTCTAGG